GGAAAGAGAGAGAGAGAGAGAGAAAACAAACTTTCACTTTTTCTGTCTCTCCATGCCTCAGATGAAAAGCTGAGCTATTGTTCTTCAGGTCCTCTTGCTCTTCTAGGAATCGTCTTCCTTAACTGATAGGTACAGTATTATATCAGTGTACAGATGCAGAACAAGCCCCAAACCTCTGAGTCCAGCAGGGATGAGGAAGGCCCGCTTGCCTGAACTCTGTACTCCTCCTTTATTCCCTCTTCATATTTGCCTTGCTCACTAGGCCACGAGCTTCATGGAAGCTGCTTTCATGTCCGTTCTCTTTGCTGACCCACGTCCACCATGGGGGGCCCCGTGAATGAGCAGGCTTCAGGACTCATGAATGTACATGAAATGTGAGATGAGAAATATGTGCTTAGTGCATGAAAGTAGAGTTTACTTCCCACTTGAGCCCCAAAGGAAAGCTTCTCAGAGAACTCTAGCATTGAAGGATGGTGGAGATAAGGGAGAGGATATCCTGGGTCAGTGGAGCGACCCGCATCGAGGAGGGAGCCACTGCTGGGGCAGGTGCAGGTCCCGATACAGCGATGGAGCGCGAGGAGTGGTTTCCCTGGGGAAAAAGCAGCAGATGAGGGGCGCTGGTTTCTGATCCAGACTAGGTGGTCTAGAATGGAGGCCATGGAGTTCTGAGGGTAGAGTAGATAGAACTAGAAGATGGAACAGATGAGAACAATTGTATAAACCTTCACCTGGTTAAGACGCTAGACTGGTGAGGGGACTACCTGGGGGGTTTTTACCTGGGGGATCCGTTCTCCCCAGATACTTTCCTTTAGATGCTTTCATCAAACTCTTCTCTAATCTCTGATTTTAGAGCTGGAAGCATTTGATTAGGACTCAGATTTGCTGTAGTTTCCTCCTCCTTTCTATCCAGTTAACCTGAAGGTGAATTCTTTCCTGTTCTCTGAATAAAAAGGCTCAAAGGAATATGAAGCATTTGTAGCTGATTTTCCACATCTTATAATCAAGGTCTGGCTGATTAGATGATTATTGAATATACTTTTAAACAGAAGCTTTGAAATCTCTTTTTTTGTTCTTTCCTCATGATGGAGTGTGTGGGGAGAAGGTAGAGGGAACTGGGAGGGGGGGGAAGAGAGAGAGAGAGGGAGGGAGGAGCACCCTCCAGGAGGTCTGGGCACTCCATGATCCCCTTCCTCCATTTCTCTCCACCCCTCGCGTCCTGGGCACTCATGTGCAGACCTGGCGTGTTTCAGGCAGACGAGGCAGGGCCTCAGACCTCGGTCACTGTGGGATAAGTGTACTCTATCTCCATGTCTCCGTCCTTCCTCTGTGTCACCTCTGTTACCACTTCTCACAGGAGAAGGCTGTTCTTTCCATTACTAAACCTCATATATAAAACTGGAAACTTAGAAAACTAAAAACACTTAGATTTTTTTAATCATAGGAAACCATTGGCAATATTTACATTTTTTGCCTTAATCATTTTTCTATTTTGGGGGGCTTGGGGGAGTAAAAAAACTCATACAATGAAAATTCTTCCCTCCACTGGAGGATGGTATTGCTAGAGAGGCTGGACTTTTCTCATAGACATTTAAAATCCCGTTGGAGGAAAGTAAGTTATTGTTACAAATTAATACGGATCTTAACACCAAGGGAATAACCTGGATACAATTTTCCCATCTGCCTTTTCTTACTTTTCAGTGTGTCCCAGAGGGGTAATGATGTGCTTCTTATTTTAACAGTACTATCAGAAATTTTGGGGGGACAGTGAGTATTGTCCCAGCTGGGGAAGCGAAGACATACGTGAATGGAAAACGCATCTTGGAACCCACAGTCTTACATCATGTGAGTCCATGCTGGCTGCGACAGGAAGAGCAGCTATTTCACTCTGGGCAAGTCACATCATCTGAGACTTAGTTCTCCCCTCTGTAAGACAGGAGAATTGAATTTTAGGTTGTTGGGAAAGTCATGATGTATTTTTCTGTTTCTCTATGCAAAAAATTATGTCATGACTTTCCCAGTGACCCAACAGATGAAGAAGTTTTCCATTTCAGAAATTCTCTTTCCTGTTAATTCACTGGTTGCTTTCATCTGTGCCTTCATTGTTCTGGGTGTTGAAATTGGTTAGAGAGGGTTGAAACCTTCGCTCTGCCATTCGTAATGTGACCTTTGGCAAGTTGCTTAACTAGGTGACTGAATAATATTACCCAGGTCAGGACACTTCTGAAACATTAATAACAATGTCACTGGGAGGACAAGCATAAGCCAGAGTGTTGCTGAAGAACCCAGACATAACGTCACGCTCTATGTATTCTACACTCAGGGATGACAGAGGGTTACGTGAAATTATACTTTCTATATGGCTCTTAGCCTGCAAATAGTAAACACTCAACAATGTCTGTTGCTATTATTATACTCTGTACTCTTTAGTTTCTTCATTCTTAACATTGGGATGTATCTCATTGAGTTGTGAGACATTGGAGATAATATACAGTTCATGTAAAGCACGTAATACAGTCTGGCATGTGGAAAGTCCTTAATAAATGTTGGTTCCTATAGTTTTATGTTTATGTTTAGTAATACCCAACTGTTTTGACTTGTTGGGCATAAGGATTTTTCCCATGTAATTTTTGGGTGCAGATTGGGCTCAGGTAGTACATTTTTTTGTGTGTTCTAGGGTGACCGGGTGATTCTCGGTGGAGATCATTATTTTAGATTTAACCATCCAGTGGAAGTCCAAATAGGGAAAAGAACGACTGGTAGAGATACTCTTACAAGTGAGGGTCCGAAAGACTTTGAATTTGCAAAAAATGAGTTGCTCGTGGCCCAGCGATCACAGTGAGTATGGTGTGGGTGTGAGCAGGAGTGAGCGATCGGCAGCAGAGACATCACGTGGTGCTAGTCTCTACCACTTTCCTTTTGGGTGCTGGTTTCTAGGACACAATTATTTTTTCTCTGTGTATCCAGTTCAGCAAACTTTCGTTGTGTATCAGTTATATATTAGTCACTAGATCAAGTGCTAGGAATGCAAAAAATAATCATTGAAACCCTAGCGCCTATATTGGAGGAATTCATCTGCTCATGGTACTGACAGATGGACAGATGGGACAGAGTGCCATGACTCAGTACTCCGAGTCTGCACAGTGTGGTGTGGGGCTTCCAGAGTGCTACGTGGTCGTGACCAAGGATCACTGAAGGTTTCTAGAAGATCAGAAGGAGACTTCTGGAGCAGAGTCCCAGGAAACCATTAGAAGTTAGCCAGAGGAAGACGGGGAGAGTACCTTTATTTCTCTTTTCTTTCTTTGCCCTGGTTTTAGTTCTTAGAAAATTGTAGAACTTGGCTTAAGCAGTATGCTTGTGAGCTAAATGGTAAAGTATACGTTAATACATAAACAAGATACTAAAGACTGGACTTTATCTTAAAGGATAAGGGAAACATTAAAGTTTTTTTGTGTTGCTTTGTTTTGCTAGAGAATGCATGTACTTGCCAAGGAGAGGCAGAGAGAGAGAGAGAGAGAAACACAGAGAGAGAGAGAGAGAGAGAGAAAGAGAGAAAGGGAGGGAAGAAGGGAGGGATGAGAGAAGAGAGGAAAAAGCACCTCTCCACTGGGGCATGGTCATGCCTCAATCTCTTCTCTATTTCTCTCTCCTTTTGGGATTTTGAGCACATGCACCAGATCTGGGAATCAAATCACATAGTTGGCCATGCAAAATCTGGTTGCCTAAAGCACCAAGCTGCAGAGCCAGTCCAGAACCATTAAAGAATTTTAAGTAGATAGGAGACACTCATGACGAGAATTCCATCTTTAGAAAGAGTACCATGAGCCAAGTCTGAAGCATGGGTTAGAGGTACAGCGAGGGTGCAGATGCAGGTAAGGGACCAGTGAAGTAGGACACGTGGAGTGTGGTTGGGTAGGAGAGACGTAGAGGAGGATGTCAAGAGGCCTGGAGGACTAGAGAGGGCGAAAGGAGGAGGACTCAAGAGTGACTAATAGGCCAACCATTGGCATGGTGGTTAAGGTGGCTGGATCCAACACGGCTGACTACATGGGGTTCAAGTCCTATACTCAGTGGCTTGGAAAACATGCTAGGCACATGTGCATGTGTACCCAAAATCCTGAAAGGACAAATGGAGGGGAAGGGATCCCATCTCCACGGGGAATGCTTTCTCACTTTCTCTCTCTGTCAGCCTCCGGTGAATGCATGCCCTCTGGCAAATGAAAAGAGAGAGAGAAAGAGAGAGAGAATGATAAGAATGGGCCGGACTAACTCTGCCTGGTCGCTTTTTTTAAAAGAGATTTTTGCTTTAGGGCATGTGTGTTCACTAGACAGACAGAGACAAAAAGTGAGAAATCTCTCCTCGGGGAGTGGGGAATGGAGATGGCCATGCTGCAATCCCTTCTCCTCCATTCTCCTCTCAGGATCTTGGACATGTATGCACATGGACTGGACGTGAGTTTTAAGCCACTGGGTCTGGGACTCAAACCGCAGTCGACTATGTGCGAGTCCAGCGAAGTAACCATTGCACCATCTGCTGGTCCCTGCTTGGTCATTTTTTAAAAAGCCCAAACCAGACCAGCCAGTGAGTGGCATGGTGGTTAAGGCAGATGGATCACATATGGCCAATAATGTGGTTCAAATCCCATATCATGCAGCTTGAAAAATACACATGTATGTACTTGTGTGCCCATCCTCTCAAAGAGGGGGAGATAGAGGAGAGGGGATGCCCCAAGGGGGTGATTTCTCTCATTCTCTTTCTCTCTCTCTCCAGTGAGCGTACACGCTCTATGGCAAAATTTTTAAAAAATGTAGCAATCTGAACCTTCTTTGCCCTCTTTTTAAAAATAACAAAAAAAGAAATTTGATTATAGCACAATATAAATAGAATAAAAATTACTATTCTATTTTTAAATGGACAGCTCAATGGCGTTAAGGTACATCCTTACTCATCCGCCATCCTTATATGTCTCCAGAACATTTTCATCGTCCATCAAACAGTAGCTTCTCGTTCTCCTCTCTCCCTGCCCGCTAGTACCACTAGCCCCCTTTCTTTTGATATTGTTTTTCAGTAAAATTAGGAATGAACATTTCTATGTGGCACAGTTGCTAAAACATTGATTTTAATTGAGAAGAGAAAAAAACTTTGGAGTTTTCTGTAATCACGGATGCTTTTTCTTCTGTATATCGAACGATGACAAAGCTAATTCAATGCTTTAACTTACCAAAACATCAAATTATTATAAAGAGTTGAGAATCTATGTTACGGTCTCTGCTTTATCAGCTCTTGTAGTGTATTTTTAGAGTCATCTTAATATTTTTCTAGTCTATGACCTAGACATAAATTAGAACTTATTGGTATATGAAATTTCATTTTTGCTCTAACCATTATTACTTTACCATAAAATACCCTTATATTATGTTTATTATATTAACTATATTTACTTCAGCGTTTATAGTAACATAGTTTTATATCATTTATTTTTCTTAAGTATTAGGAAAACATTAAATATCAAGCATCTGCAATAGTAACCAAGTTAGGAATAAGAAATTCTTTCTGCTTTAAGTTTATTTATTTTTTTTCTTGAGGGACAGAGACAGATAGGTGGAGAGAGAAGAAAGAGAGAGAGACCACACCATGAGCTGGGTCTTGGTGCCATTCCCAGCCTCAGTCAGTCCTAGCCCTCGGGCACACCATGCCTGATGTAATTGGGGATGTCTCTGGACCCAAGCCTGGAAGACTCCCATGTGGGTCATCTGCTCCAGTATTACATTTTACCACTGAGGCATGGTTCAGCTCATTGGTATACTTTTTTCCATGTAAATAATTCTAGAGCTAATGAAAATTTGAAGAACACTTGATAGAAAGTCAGAAATGAAGTTTTAAGGTTGAAATTTTTGTTCAGTGGAAAACATTGTAATGTGATTAAGAACTATATGTTGAGTTGTCGGAAAAGTCGTGACACATTTTTACACAGAAAAAACACATCATGACTTTTCCGACAACCCAGTATAAAGGATTTGTAACCACATACCTTGTACTATGTGGCCCCTTCACAGACTTGAAGCAGAGATGAAAGAGGAATGGTTGAAAGCAAAGGAAGAAATGATGCAAGAAATCCAGATTGCAAAAGAAATGGCTCAGCAACAGCTCTCTTCTCAGAAAGCTGCATATGAGGGCAAGATCAAAGCCCTGGAGGCAGAGCTGGTACGTGGTGGGACAGGGCTTGGCCTTGGCTTTTACGGGGTTTTTGACAATGCACCCCAAGTGATGTGATGGCTGCAGCGTCAGTCATGCCCCTATTAGGTATCTGGGTGGGGGAGTTTCAGAGGTCAGTGTCTAAGCTGCAGAGAGCCTTGGCCCGCTTTATTTTATTTTCAGGGCAAGTTGGTCCCCGACATCTGCTGCCGGGAGGAGAGAAGCAGGTGGAGCAACTTCTGCCCTCCAGCCGCTGGGGCCTGGCTCTCCTGGTGGCTGGCAG